AGGAGAGGAGAGGAGAGGAGAGGAGAGGAGAGTCCCCGGGCCCTGCAGAGAGGAGAGGAGTGTCCCCAGGCCCTGCAGGTTTGATGGGAACCTTGCACGAGTGTCCTGTGGCTCTCCGTGCGTCAGCAGGGGTGGGCTGAGGGCTGCCAGGGGGGCAGGAATGGTTTTCCTCACTGCCAGCTTCCAGCAGGGCTGATCCCTCCCTGAGCACCGGGATTCCTGCCTGGATCACGGCACCTGGCCCAGGACTCCGGAGCATTGGGATTCCTGCTTGGACTGGGGCACCTGGCCCAGGATTTCGGAGCACTGGGATTCTGGAGGACTGGGATTCCTGCCTGGATCGGGACACCTGGCCCAGGACTCCGGAGCACCAGGATTCCTGCCTGGATTGAGGCACCTGGCCCAGGATTCCAGAGCTCTGGGGGACATTGGGACCCACACGTTGTGTTCCCTCCTCCCCTCAGGGCTGCCTCCTGCCCATGGGGTGCTCTCCATGGCTTTTCCCGGTTCTTTTCCTGCCTGCAGGGACCAGGGGATATTCCCAGGCCCAGCCAGGCTGGTTCCAGGTGGAGCTGGATGGAAAATCCCCCCACCCCTGTGAGGTTTTGCCAGGGGGACTCTCTTTCCTTCCATCATTTCTGTTTTCCTAAACTTCTGACACTTGGCTCCGTGATTTCCCTTTTAAACCCCAAACCGACGCCATCCTTCATGCAGGACACGGAGATTTGCTGCAAGGAGAGGGAATAAATCCTAAATATATTCACCTTTCCTCCTCTGGCACATAAATCTGCCGCTGGGGCCATTTATCTGCCTCCTGCCTGGCCCCAAAACCATCGCCAATAACGGCAGATGAGATTCCCTGCCCGGGAATTCCCTGGGCGAGCATTAGAGCGGGAGTTGAAGCCTTTAAATGGATTTCAGGAGTGGAGAATTGAACGGCCGGGGCTGGAAATTGCTTTCCCGATGTCTGGAGCCGAGGCTGGGCGTGAGCAGTGCAGCAGCACCATCTGCTGAGGGAGAGAACACCCAAATTCTCCTTCAGCAGGCGGGCACCTTCCCTTTTTCTTTCCTTTTCCCCCCTCTTTATCTTAATTCAATCTTTTCTTTGGAGTTACAGATTCCGTTTGCTCCCTCCCTGGGAGGTTCAGTTTCTCTCTGCTTCGTTGCTCCCCCGATCAGCGCAGAATCACCCAAATCTCTTTGCAGACGTTTTCCCCAAATATTTCCAGTTCTGAGCCAGCAGGAGAGAGGGGATTGATTTAAAACCCCAATCCTTCTGTCTCTCTCCTCCATCTTTCTGGCTTTCTTTCCCTTTTTCTTCTTTTTTGATTTTTATCCTTCCTTTTTCACTTTTTTTCCATCTCTTGTTCATTAAAATATTTTTGCCTTTTTATTTTTATTATTTGCTTCTCCTTATTTTTCTCTTCCTCTTTTCCCTTGTACCTTTCCCCTTTTGACTTTTGATTTTTTTATTCTTATCCATTAACCCCTTCCTCTTCCTTTTCCTCTTCATTTTCCACTTCATCTTCCTTTTCGTAATTATGTTTCCTTTTCCTTTTCCTCTTCCTTTTCCCCTTTTCCCCTTTTCCCCTTTTCCTTTTCCTTTTCCTTTTCCTTTTCCCTTTCCCCTTTTCCTTTCCCTTTTCCCTTTCAGGACCTGGGACAGCTCCGGCCCCGCCCCTCGCCGCCGGTGGGCGTGGCCCGTGCGTGCATGGGCGTGGCCCGTGCGTGCATGGGCGTGGTCTGTGCGTCACTGGGCGTGTTCCTCTCCCCGCTATAACTGCGCATGCGCGGCCGCCCCCTCACAGCCGCTCCAACATGGCGGCGGTGCGGGCGCTGCGCGGGGCCGTGAACGGCGCCGGGCCCGGCGGGCCCCGCGAGCAGGCGGCGGCGCTGACCCGCGATTTCCTGTCCCAGCCGCGCCTCAGTGAGTGCCGCCCGCGCGGAGGGGACCGGGGGGCTGCGGGGAAGGGACACCGGGCCGGCTCGGGGGCCGCAGCCTCGCGCCCGGGCAGGCCGCAGCCCCGGGCTCGCTCACCCCTCAGAACAGTCTGGGCTCGGGCTGTAATTAATCACCCTAATTAACCCCGGTAGCGCGGGAATTGGGCAGCCCAGCCCGCTGTGACACGGCCCGTCCCGTGTCATTCCTGGAAAGCTGGGATTTGTACCGGGAACGGGAAATGCTGGGCGTGGGATGGAGTCTGTTCCTGAGCGCTGAATTGAGAAATCGGGTGAAAAAGGGGAAATGCCAGACTTCGTTCAAATCCCTTCATGGCAGCGCAGTGGGGAGAAATCGGGGTGTGTGCGGGTGTTTTCTCTGGCAGCAATTACATCAAATGGCTTCGCCTGTGCCCTAAATAGCACCAGGACCTGCAAGGTGCTGCCCAGCAGCTGCTGGGTCGTGGATCCTTGGGAAATATCCGTCGGGTTTGGAAGCCGAATCCGTCATTGCAATTCCAGGTCTTTACTCTGGAGCAGAGGCTTCTGTCAGGGTTGGAGCCAAGGTGACTCCAGAGTTTTCCATGTCGATTCTGGCTTTTCCCTGAACTGGTATCGAGCTGGGGATGGAAAATGTTCCAGGTTGCTTTTGGTTTGTTGTGGAACTGGTTGAGAGGCTGAATGAGGAAGGAGTGCTCATGAGACAGTCATGGGATGGAATGTCTCATTCAGGGTCAGGTTTTCCATTCCTCATTATCCTAATCCCATTCCGTATTATCCTGTTCCCATTCTCTATCT